AAAGAGCTACAGGGAGAAAAAATCATCTGACTGAAAACAATGTTTATCCAAAAAATATTTCCAGAAGCTCTGCATGCTTCAAGAAGTATGGACTAAATGTTTTGTCTCCCACATAATGAGGAAATGGAACCCATCGCTGTGTTGGAGCAGCTGGGGCACAGGAAGGAAGCTCACCAGGACCTGGGCAAACACTCACAAGACCCTGAGGCATAGATTGTGCTCTCTGCTAGAAAGGAGGGCTATGGGGAAAGAGATCAACAAATGTCTCTGCGGTATTTGTCCCAGGATGAGAAGAAAATAACATCCGGAACACATTGCCTCACCCTCGTTCAGGTTTTACATTGAAAATCATTACCAATATGCCATTTGACACAAAAGTGCTTTAAAATTGAATTAGACARGGCTAATAAACACGGAAAAGGCAAGAAAGTATAATTACTTCCATTCCCTTTGTTAATAACTTATCCTGTATGGGTTCCTTTGTTTGAAAAACCTAAAATGTTCATAGGGATCAAAACAAATTCACATATGTATATGAATTCATTTGAAGATAAATATGTTTGTTTTACTTCCCCAGTCTCCACCCTGACATGCAGTCTGTGTTACCTGTTTGGTCTCCTGGTAAAATGTTTAAGGTCAAACAATGTTTAATAAATTTTTCAAGCTTATCTGAGAAAAGCCATCCTTCTACTCCTGTCTTTTCATTTACTGATTTTTCCCCCTGTAAGGAATGCCATATCTGAACAATCAATTTTTAAAATAAACAAAGCTCYGTGTGTAGTTGGTCTTAGATTGTGACTGAGATTCATCTCTGTATCAGTCCTAATCTGTATTGTTGTCCAGCCATGATGCTTCCCCAGTCCTGGAACGGAAGACTCACCAACAAAACAGAGAATTCATCTTTCAATTGTCCCAGGAGATTCTTTCTCAGCATAGATGTTTCTATGATTTGTTTAAATCCTATGACTATTATCTATTACTATGATTGGGAACAGATGTCGGTATGTTGTGAAAAACTAATGCCTCAAAATTTTCATTTAGATCATTGTACGTGAGAACCTGAAGATAAATTCAAAGCTAAGGTAATAAAATATGAGAACACAGGATAATTCAAAATAGACTATTCATACTGTGTGCTTTATGTTTGGGAAATAGAGGCAACACATGTTGCCCACATCTGATCAGAAATTAAATTTAAAAATTCTATGAATTAAGTCAAACAATAAATTATGAGAAAATTTTTTTTCATACATTGCAAGATTGAGCTTTTCTGATGACATCTGTTTTTTTGTATAGTGTTATATATATTCTTAGTAATGTTCTGCACTAATTAACATTATTATTTTAATATACATTTTTAGTGTGATAATTTATGAGGACACAAAGGATCCAAGCATACAATCTTTGTATACATTTGCCCAATAGCAAATGACAATGCCAACTGTTTTGTGAAGTTAACCAAACAAAATGGCAGACTTTTTTTTTTCTAGAAAAGATCAAACTTAATGTTAATGCCTAATACGTATTTACCCACAAGGAAGACTGATGAACAGTTCCAGGACAAAGCTCTGTACTGTCAGACGGTTTTGTTAGTGTCTGCCAAAAGTCATTTATTATTCAAAGCCAGGCAAGATTAATGAGGTCACACAGACAAGAGGGTGTGACTATTATTCAAAAAAGATATTTGAACCTAGGTATCAAAAACTTGAAAGGTATTAGTTGTAGGACATCTTATAATTGGAATTTTAAAGCAAACTTCAGTATGAGAAGGGTCTTTAGGAGAGGCCAAAGATCAATACTGGCCATCCTGGCAGGGACTATTTGTTCCCAGACCCTCAGAGTTGTATCTCAACTCAACCACTGATGAAACTCCAGCTGGTTTATACCAACATTATTTTTGTGCTCTTAACATTTGTATTTCAAACTTGGAATAAATATAAAATCCATCAAAAAGAAACTCAGTATCTTGCAGGTTAGTTGCAATTTAACTGTGCTATAATCAGTAAGAGGTAGGGATAATTTAATTAAAGATGAAAGTATTTTTCCTCCCCTGATCTTGGTAGGGATCTTTCCAGTAAAAAATATTCATGAAGAACATAAGTATCAGAGCCATACTTATGTGGTGGAGAATTATGTCACAGAAGTTAATTTTTTTTTTTTTAGAATTAAAAAGTATCTAAGATATCCCATACAACTCCCTTATTTACAGATAAATAAAAAATTTGAGGGAAGTTGAATGTTTTCTAAAACACACAGTAAGTTAGTGGAAGGCAATGATGATTAAGGGCAGAGGGTTCTGAAACTGTATTGCTTGGATGTGTCCCATTCCCACCACTTGGTAGCTGCGTGGCCACAGTGTTTCTTATTCCTTCTCAGTTAAAAGAGATATAATAATAGTGGAGTGGAAGCTCCCTTAGCTAATGTAATGAAGGCAAGGGTTTTGAAATGTAACTGTAAGCAGAGACCCATTAACACATACAAACACTAAATTATTTATTTTTAGCTCAAAACATATATATTCTATGTAAAGATAAGGCCTTTTCTTTGAATATGGGCTCTCTGATTGGGTTTCTAGCCATATCTTCATATAATCCACACCAATACAGGTCTATTTCTTTAAATTGGTGGGGGAAAAATATAAAGACAATTATGAGTCTAAGTACAGAGTTCTTTTAGATTTTTATAATTTCCAAATTTGCATTGGTTTTCTCACATTGTCTAGTCTTTAAGGCACTTCTAAYAACAAAATATCATCAACTGGGTGGCTTATAAACAACAGATAATTATTTCTCATAATTCTGGGGACTGAGAAGTCCAAGATCAAGGAGCCAACAGATTTTTTATTTAATGAGAACCACCTTCTGGTTCACAGGTGGCATCTTCTAACTGTGTCTACACAGTTTTTCTGGGGCTTTTTAAATAAGGGCACTAATTCCACTCATGGTCACCTTTCCCGTGATGACCAAATCACACCCTTCTCTCAACCTCAACACCAGCACATTCATAATTAGGATTCAACACAAGAATTTTAGGGGACACAAACCTTCTGACCATAGTATACTTGTATCTACTTCAACACTATTTTTTCTGAAATAYTGATTAATCCTTCTGTTCAACTTAGTTTTTATTTATTCTATGAAATTTTCACTTCCTCAGATTGTGTTATATTTAATAAAATTATGTAGTTGTATGAACACATGCAACTGGTATAATCAGATTGGGTACAAATACCTGACTCCTAAATGAATGTACCTCAGCTTGCAAAAGTGATCAACTTTCTAGAATGTGTCAGTTACTTCCTGAAGTTGTCAATGTGCCATAAGGATGTCAGAATGCTTTACAGATGGAACAGAAAAAGCCAGTAATTTTTTCAATTCAAGTGGTTAAAGAACTTTCTACTGAAAACTCACAGAACATTGTCAACACATTAAAAGCACCCAAAAAAATGTAGCTATTAATATACAAGTTTAAAACTCATTTCTCCTGATTTCATCAGGTAGATAGATATCAGTCTTTCTTTTTGCATATGATTTTTCTTACATTGACATTTGATAATTAATTTTTACTCCTTATTAACGTCATTGCTAAAAACTACCAGTGGAATAAATCATATACCCTGTGTTTGTTTCAACAGTAATGACTGACAATCAATTACAGAATTATCTTAAATAAAGTTTTTATGATGGAAGATAAATGTTTTTAGTAGTTTGTTTCCATTTTTCTGAAAACTAAGATGCATATAGTTTAAAAGTCAAATAGTAAGATGTACATTTTCCCACATTTTAATATCTGAAATCTGAATGTTTTCTTACTGTTCATGACATCTTAGAATTAAGGGGACCAGACAGCAGTCTTAACACAGTGATACTGTCTGCACATTTGTACTCCTTGAAAGTATCTACATCAAAATTCAGAAGTGACAGCAACCTGAAAGAGAATCACAGAATCAATAGCGTATCACTCTTTTGAGGAATGCTGTATCATCAACAACTGCAATGGCACAGAACACAGTATTACTTGGAAAAAATACAAGCACAGACAACTTCGAAGTAATTCAGGAGAAACTGAAGTTTTAGAAATGCCCTTTCCGATTCATTTCACTTATATTTTTGGTTTTCAGTTATACACATAAATGATGTATGATTTTAAAAGTACTGTGCCCACCTCCAAGATCTGGAACAAGACAAGGATACACACTTTAACTATTCTTATTTAATATAGTGTTGGATGTCTTAGCAAGAGCAATTAGGCAAGAGAAAGAAATAAAAAGCATCCAAATTGGAAAGGAAGAAGTCAAATTATCCATGTTTTCCAATGACATGACTTTATACACAGAAAAACCTAAATACTCCATCTAAAAGTTGTTATAACTAATAGAAAATTTAGTAAAATTGGAGGATACAAAATCAACATAAAAAAGTAACATTTTTATATACCCATAATGAACTTGCTGAAAAAGAAATCAAGAAAGTAATCCCAAAAATTTACAATAGCTACAAAAGTAAAATAAAATACTTAGAAGTAAATTTAACCAAGTTGATAGATTTCTACAATGAAAATTACAAAACATTTATAAAATTAAAGAAAAAATTAAAATATATCTTGAGATCATGGGTTAGAAGAATTAATTTTGTTAATATGACCCACTCCCCAAAGTGATCCATAGGTACAATGTGATCCCCATCAAAATACCAATAACTTTCTTCAAAGAAATAGGAAGAAAAAAATCCTAAAATGCATAGGGAGCCACAAAAGACTTAAAACAAAAATAGCTAAACCAATACTGAGTGGAAAACTAAACAAAGCTTGAGGCATCCCAATACCTGACTTCAAAATATACTATAAAGCTATACTAATCAAACAGCATGGTATTGGTATAAAAAATCAACACATAAACCAATGAAACAGAATAGAAAACCTACAAATTAATCCACATACATATAGCAAATTGATTTTTGAGATTTTTTTTTCCTTTTTCTTTAATCAGAATAAAAGTAGGTTTTAGTTTCTAAAACTTCATGAATATGCATGTCATCCTTGCACAGGGACCATGCTAATCTRCAAACGTGTCATTCCCWCTTTAGCATAGGTGCCRATGAAGTGAGCACCAGTCAAATGATTTTTGACAAAGGCATAAAAAACATATATTGGAACAAAGACAGTCTCTTTAATAAATGGTGCTGTTAAAACTGACTATACCTATAAAGAAGAATGAAACTAGTTCCCTTTCTCTCATCATGCACAAAACTCAACTCAAAATGGGTCAAAGACCTAAATGTGAAACCTGAACCTATGAAATGACTACAAGAAAACGTAGGAGAAACATTGGAGACATCAGTGTAGGCAAAGATTTTTGGGATAGGACTCCAAAGGCATAGGCAGCAACAAAAATAAACAAATGGTATTAAAGCAAACCAAGAAACTACTGTTCACTAAAGAAAACAAAGTTAAAACACAGAGATAAACCTACAGAATGGAGTAAATACTTGCAAGCTATCCATCTGACAAAAGATTAATATCAAGACTTTATATATGGAAGTAAAAGAACTGAACACCAAAAATAAAATAATACAATTTAATAATGGGCTAAAGTTTTCTCAAAAGAAAACATACAAATGCCAACAAGTATATGAAAAAATGCTCAATATCACTAATATCAACATCACTAATTATCAGACAAATGCAAATCTAAACCACAATGAGATACCATCTCATTCAAGTTAGAATGAATATTATCAAATAGAAAAACCAGAAAATACTAGCAAAGATGGTCACTCTTACACACTGCTGGTGTGAATGTGGTTATTACACTCATTTATGGGAAAAAGTATGGAGATTCCTCAAGAAACTAGGAATTTATTTACCATATTATCCAGCAATTCTACTACTAGTTATATGTCCAAAGAAAAGGAAATCAGTTTATTAAAGAGATACCTGCATTCTCAGGTTATTGCAATACTATTCATATTAGCCAAGATATAGAATCAACCTAGACATCCATCTGCAAATGAATGGGTAAGAAAAATGTGATGTATATGCGCCATGAAATATTATTCAACCATCAATATAAAATTCTGTCCTTTTCAGCAAATGCAAATAGATGGAACTGGAAGCAGAAAGACAAACACTACATATTCTCATTCATGTGCAAAAACTAAGAAGCCAATCTCAACAAAGAACGGAGTAGTATAGTGATCACTAGAGACTGGGCAAGGCAGAGGAGAGCAGGACTGAAAGAAGTGAGATAAATAGCAACAAAATACAATTTGAGAGGAGGATTTAGTTCTGCTTTCAATAGCAGAGTAGGGTAACTACTGGTCATAACAGTCTATAATATATTTCAAAATAACTAGAAAAGAAGAGCACAAACATCATAGAAATGATTAATCATAGAAATGATTAATGTTTGAGGATATAAAAGTGCTTATTAGCCTGATTTGATTAATACACATTTTATGAATGTATCAAATTATCATACTGTACCCTATAAAGATGTACATTTATTATGTCTCAATTTTAAAAATATAAATAACACTACCAGACTTATTTCAAAAAAAAAATACTATGCCTGAGAAATGTAAAAGAGCCTATTTATCAATATTATGTAAAGATGATGATTTCTGACACTGGTGGAGTAATTGGCTCTTAGTACTCCTGTGAGTCAAATGCATGTGGCAAAAGTGTTAAGACATTGGACCACAAGCAGTGCAAGAAAGTGACCTCTGATAAGAAGAACTGTGCTGTCTGCCTGGGGGCAAGTTCCTGATCTCAGTGCACTGAGCTTTATTTCAAGCAAACACATGGTTATCCATCTCAAATAAGGGGGAAAAGATGAAGTAGCAGAAATCTGTAGGTTAAGACCTCAAAGGAGGAAGTCACATGGAGAGGAGACCCTAAAAGTTTATGGGGGTTCCTCACAGATCTTCGGGCAAGGACTGCACTATGTATGGTCAGAGTGATATTGTACAAGGCTTACTAGAGACAGTTGGTACATTCGATGTGGAAAATATATATTAATTGTTAAGTACTACTTGTGAAAGTGCTGTTGGCACCTTAGATATTTTCCAGAAAATGAAAATCTACTTCTTAGAAGTAAGTACCATAACCTATTCCAGACCCACCCAAGAAAGCCGAAAACAAAATCTGCAGGAAGACAGAATTCAAAAATTCAGTCTCATTATATCAGAGGGGTCTGGAAAACATCTTGGTTTCTCTAAACACCTATCCTAACAAAGAATGCTACTAAGCCTAAGGTGAAACAGTGTCAAGTTGATCCAGCAGTTATTGGACTGTGAATAGCTTAAAAGAAAACCAACATTCTTCAGAATCTCTACAATGTATTTATCCAAAATGACTGGTATACAATCAAATCTATATAGAAGCAAGAAAATGTGACTCATATTCAGTAAAAAAGCTATTAAAAGAACCCATCCTCAAAATGGTCCAYATGTCACATTTAGCAAAGACTGTAAGAAGCTACTATAAACATGTTCAAAGAGCTAAGAAAAATACATTCCAAAAGGTAAAGGACAGATGAAATAAGATGGTAAAATGGAGCTAACACCAATAATTCCAGTGGTTCAGGAGGATCATGAGTTCAATGCCAGCTTCAGCAATGGCCAGGCACTAAGCAACTCAGTGAGACCCTGTCTCTAAATAAAATACAAAATAAGGCTGGGGATGTGGCTTAGTGGCCAAGTGCTCCTGAGATCAATCCCTGGTCCCCTCCCCCAATAAAAAAATGGAGCTAAGAGCATATGAGATGTGGCAGAAGAAAGTTAAAGAAATTCAAGTTATATAAAGAGATGTCATCTAATCTGAGAAGCAGAGAATAATCAAAGAATAATTAACAGTGGACTAGAAGGTTCTAAATATTATAATTAAGAGATAGAATTAGAAAGATAGGTAGAGATTAAATGGATAGATGTATGGATGATAGAGCAATAGAGGGAATAAATATTTGAAAAGAGAAATGAAGTAGAATTATCTCTGTTTTCAGTCAATATGATTTCTGTACACTAAAATCTTTAGAAATCTACAAAAAAATAGAATTAATAAGTGAATTTAGTTAGCTTATGGATAAAAGCTCAACTTGCAAAAAATAATTTTATTTCTATATAATAGCAACAAATTGGAAAGTGAAATTTTAAAATAATAAATACAATTTATAAGAGTATCAAATGATAAATTAGGACTAAATTTAATTTAATTTAGACCTTCGCAAATGTAAGGTATCTATACTAAAATTACAAAGGATTGCTGAAAGAAATTAAATAAGGTTTAAGTAATTGGAAGTACACAATGTTCATAAATTAGATGGTTTGACATTAATATGTCCATTCTGTCCAAATTTGACCTATAGATTCAAGTGATGCTTGTCAAATTCACAGGCTGTAGAAATTAATAAGTTCCTTCTAAATTTGAAGTTCAAATTAAAGGACTTAAACAAAGAAGCAAATTAAATAACCTARAGTAGCCAAAATAATTTTTACCTAGAAAAATAAATTAGACTAATTACACCATCTGATTTCAAGACTTACCCCAAAGTAATAGTAATCGAGACAATGTGATAATGGTTAGTGATAGAAAAATAGATCCTGATACACAAAATAGAGTCCAAAGTCCCTTTAAACACATACAATCAAGTGAATTTTTAACCTAGTTCCAACATAATCTAATGAAGAAACACATTGATTTCATTGAATGGTTCTGAAACCACTAGATATTCAATATGGAAACAAAGATGAATCTTGACATTCCTTCATGCCATACAAAAAGTTCATTTGCTAGCAATCATTCCCAAGTTGAAAAGCAAAAATATTAAAATTCCTGGAAGAAAATATAGAAAACTTGATATAAGCAAAGATTTCTTGAACAGGAGTCAAAAAACAGAAAAAAAAAATAGATAAATTGGACTTCATCCAAACTAAAAATTTCAGACAGGACCATGATTAGGGTAAGGTAAACAAACACATGTTTGTACAAGGGCAGAATTAGATTACATTACATTTATTCTGATTTTTTTGAAAGACTACATCAAATATTATTTATCTTCATATCTGAATTTGTTGACATCCCCTTAAATTTTGTGCTAGAGAAAGGAAAGTGGTTCCGTCCCCTCACTAGTCCTAGCCCTGATCCTACCCTTCCTAAATTTCTTTAGGTTAGTAAGACTGCCAGGATCTTCTCTGAAGGCTGAAAAACATCTTTAGGCATTAACTGTGCAATCAGGAGCTCTCCTCATTTGCGCTCCTACTCTCAAGAATAACATGTTCTACCATTTTCCCATGGCTACACATCACTGTTCATGTGCTTTGTCTAGTTTTCCAGTCATTTAATGAAGGAAGGTAATTCTGGCTTCTGAACTCCAYTGTAGTTAGAAGTATTTGCAAAACAGATAAATTATGGAATCAACCCAGGGGCCCATCAATAGATGAATGGATTAAAAAATTGTGGTATATATATACACAATGAAGCTCCACTTGGTCACAAAGAAGAATGGAATTATGGCATTTGCTGGTAAATGGATAGAAATGGATAATATCAYCCTAAGGAGAATAAGCCTTAGGAGAGCTCAAATGTTTTCTCTCGTATGCAGAAGCTAGAGTAAAATAAAGGACAGGGGGAGGAAAGAATAGAATACCATAAAGATAAAGGCAAGTAATGTAGAAGCAAATAATCAAGAGGCAGAGTGGAGGGATGGGCAAGGGGAAGAGATGTGGAATAAATTCTTTAAAAATCATGTTATGTGCATATATAAATATATCACCAGGAATTTCACCTTTATGTATAAATAAAAATAAATAGCCAATCAAATGTAAATAAACAGACAAGCAAAAAGAAATCTACTAAAAGAAGGAGGACAAGGGTTGAGCGAGAGAACCAGTGGGAAAAGCGGGGAATTGTAAACTCAAATCAAATTCCAAACGTGCGTGAGAATGTTGGATGAACTACTCTGTATAACTATAAAGCTMTAATAAGAAATAAATAAGTGAATAAAGTATTGAAAAATATTGAAATGTATTTTCTAGCATTTGTATCTTTAAAGCGAGGTGAATCTGGTATGCTTTTCCGTGTCTCTCAACATATACTAATTTGTAGGAAATGG